GGTCAAGGGCCTTCTCAGATAACTGGGTGTAAAAAATGGGGACCTCTCAGTCCAGTCTGTTGATTTAGGCGAGGTGTGTCCAGTTTACATATTTCCCACATGGTCCTACCTCTGCACTGCAGCCCAGGAGGTCCTCCTCCAGGAAGCCCTCACAGACTGCTGGGCCCTCGCCTGCACTCCAGTGGCAGACACATATGGAAGCAACTATCCCAGCTTGGAGCTGCAAGCGTGTAGAGCAGTGGGCGGGTGGAAAGCAGGGAGGGTTTCCAGGAGGGGGTGGTGCTAGGCCTAAGTCTGCAGAGGTAGAAGATGGGGCTATGGAGGCCAACAGGGCTTGTTGGTGGGGGCCTCAGGAGTGTCACAAAGGAGAGATGACTTCAGGTAGGAGAAGGACAGGAGCTCCAAGAGGTGGGAGACAGCAGGGTCAGTAGGGGCCTGCTTTGTGGTAATTATCACTGTCAGCTCAGTCCTTGGCCAGCTTGTCCCCTCTGAAGGGACCCATTACAGCCACCTAGACTCTCATCTTCCCATTTTTCACCTTTCCAGGTCTGTGATGAACATGTTGTTGGTGCCCTGCAGCCTTCCAAGGGCCTGGCATCTTAGTCTAAAGGGTCTCAGGCTGATTAGTGAAGGCCTTTAAACAGATGCGCCTCGGGGAGCTTGCTGCTGACCAGCGGGCGGAGGCCTGGGTCACACCTCTGTGAGCTTTCTCATCTGCCCCATGATTTCTTTGCCCCCCACCTCTGCTCTAGAATGTTCTGAGGGGCCAGGTATGGAATGGCTACCTCAGGTCTCAAAACTAGAAGCACCCTCCACTCTCCAGGATTGGATGTCGGGGTTAAGCAGCTGGGATTATGTGAGCTGGACTGGGTGCGTGGGAAGCGTTGCGGGAAGGTGGAGACAGCTCAGGGCCATGTGCACATGAACCCCCCGGAAACACGGTGCTGTGAGCTGCACATGGCGGAGGATTCTATCTGCTGCTGCTTTTCTGTTTTTCTCAATTTCACAAGATTGTGTTACTGAGCACCCGTTCCTTTTGCAGTGGAAAAAAAACTTTTAAGTTACCAAATGAATGACCTGGCCAGAGTGATACCAGCTCACCCAAAAGATCACTGCAAGTCCTCTCCCTACAGGGACATTTACAAAACATGCAGGAGGCTGGGGGGTGGGGGGCAGCACCTGTCTGTCAGGATGCACTTGGCCATTTAAAAGGAGCTGGGCCAATTTGAGGGGAAGGTAGGGTGTCCACAGAGGGCCATCCATGGCTAGCTTTCCCCCTGTCCCACGAGGCTGCTATAGGGCAGAATCCAGCCTTGTGAGGGTGCTGGATTCAGATGCTTGGGAGCATGTCCCGAGTCTGACTACTGGAAATGACATCGTAAAGAAAACAACTTGGTTTTCTCATGCCACAACTAGCAGCTGTCACTTTGCCAGCCAAGTTTGCAGGTAGGAGTTTGAATGGCCGCAAGTCTGACTGTGGCTTGCTTTTCCAGAACCACTTTGGTAATTAGCAGAATTTAGGCAACTGCCCTGTGAGAGGCCCTACGTGTACACAGGATGCGAATCTCACCTGTTCATTTTCACTTCTCCTCTGAGGTCGGTCTCACAGAGTAGCTGTGAATGGTTCCTTTTCAGACACAAAACTGGGGCTTAGAGGTGCAGCTTCTGGAAGGCAGCACAGCCTGGAAGGTTCTGTGCAGCCTGGGTTTGGCTCTAGGGCATACACCCCTCCAGGGGATGTCAACTCAGCCACCATGTGCCGCATCTTCTTCGGGGGGTTGAGCTCCCGTGTGCCCTGACCACAGCAGCCACTGTGATAGCTCTCAGCCCCCAAAGTCCCTCCTGGGGCCATTGTTGCCAAAGTGAAGCGGCTGAACCAAGGCTGCAGCGCGGTTTATGCATCTGACACAGGAGCCGGGAGAAGGAGGTGGCAGGCAACCTTGCCAGTGCTTCTCTGACCTCTCCCAACCAGTCTGGGGCTCCTGGGGAGTCTCGGGCATCAGACACCATCACCCAGGACCAAGTCTTGGTCCTGTCCACGGTGTTAGCCACATAAATGGAGGAGGTGCTGTGTGCAACTTGGAGGTGTTTCCTGTGCATGCAAGGAAGACATTTCTCCTCCATGTGATCAGTGGGAGGGACGAGGTTTGATGCTGGGGACAAGTGAGGACAGAACTGAGTCCTCAGGGAAGCTGTACACCCGAGGGCCTTGACCCTGTAGCTTGGCCAACCTTAGAGTTCATTCCCGGCACTCAGAGCTTCCTAGCCCCACAGCCTGCCCCCGGCAGCGTCCATTCAGGTCCTGTTGGCCACCTGCTATTGTGCCATTTCAGCCTCTCCCCAGACCCCTCCTGCCATAGGCCTAGGCTAGAGTCAGCCTGTTGTGTGAAGAGTGAGGGAAGGAACTTCTCAGACATTGGAGTGTGGAGTGATTTCCACATAGACTTGGGCACCTGAGAGCAGCTTGTGGGCACTGCTGTTCGCCAAGCCCCTCCATGCCCAGGCAAGGAACATGTGTCTCTAATCTCGGGTGTAAATCCAAGGAAGTAGCATCATTGTCCCCATCTAAAAAGAGACTGAAGCCCAGAGAGGTGAAGGAGCTGGTCTAGGGAGGGTCACAAGGGCAGAGGGCAGGTGAGAGCCCAGGGTTGCTCAAGGGTGGGGTGAGGCAGGGCCCTGTGGGTTTGGGGGTCTGTCTCCAGAGCACTTGGCCTGGCTTAGTGCTGGTTCTGACAAGTTCAGCACCAGCCTCGATAGGCTGAAAACCATGCCAAGAGTCCAGGCCAGTCTGGCAGTGCAGGTGAGCCCAGTGTGGGGCTCAGACTCTGAGAGGGGAGTTTCAGAGGCTCTGAAGGCAGATGATGCAACGTTTGTCCCACTCAGGAACCCAGTGACTAAAAACTGGCAGAAGGGAGGGGCCAACCACTGGACAAGAGATGGTGGTCAGGCTGTTGGGTAAGACACTGCCTGGGCACCAGTCGGGGGCTCCCCACACAGGGCACTGGCAGGCACTCAGCCTAGCTCTTCCATCACCGTCACTAGGAAGGGACCAGAGGACCTGGGGGAACCCTGTCACCATCTTCTGAGTCCCACCATTGAACGACCCCAGGCAGGTGTCCTGGAGTTTCTCTGGTGTGAGAGTTTCTAGGGACGAGCCAGGTCCCCTAGGGCCACACCTGCCCTGGACCTGGAGCCCCATTCACCTTGTGTGGCCAGCAGGGGTCTAGGGCCTCTGGGGTTGGCGCTTGGGGGTTACCCTGGTCCTGGTAGGCTTCTCAGTGACCACCTCTCCCCCCAATCACACCTGTCCTGTCACACCTCCTTGGGTTCTGTGGCCTGGAACTGGGATTTCTGATGCCAGCATCACCGAGAGATGAATTAAATGAGACTATTTACAAAAGAGAGGGGCCTCTGTCTCTGGGCCTGCAGGTGCCAGGGTGTGCTGGCCATGTGATGCCCTCTGGGCCTGTGAGGGCACATGCTGTGTCAGCCTACCTCCCTATCTGGGGGGCCCCAGCCTGTGGTATTAGTCCTGGGTAGGCCCCAGAGCTGCTGTCCCATCAGCTCTGGTAAGGGCATCGGAGCTTGTCCCAGACTAGGGCAGCAGGTGAGGGGGTTCACCTAGACCTCCCATCTTCATAGACACAGGCAAGTGGGTCCAGGGTTAGTAATTTGGGCATCAGGGCACTACCAGGCCCCAAGGGATTCTGATTTTGGTCCATGTCACAGGTGGGAGAGGTGAAAATGGCAGTGGGGTCCTAGGCATCTGGGGGGGTAGTGTGTGGCTTCAGGGTAGTCCCTCTGGGGGGCTTGTTCCCTCTGAAACATCAGGACAGCAGTGTGCTCGAGGCCAGTGGGTCCCATAGGCTCTATTTGAGAGGTGGCTACAGCCGGGCCAGGGCTGCCCTCCCTCCATCACCTGCGCTTCTGTGGGACCCTCATAGCCTTTGGGGGCATAGACTTTATCACCACAGAACACTGCATATGAGACTTTTGTAGGCTCCCACCCCCATTTGCAGAGATGTCCCCGGGACGGCCAGCAGGTCCCTGGCTCAAATGACTTAGGAAACTGACTCAAGGAGACTGAGATGTTGGCGAGAACTAATTAGTGGTCATTTGCTCCCTGCCCGTGTCCTGCACAGCTCTCAGCTCATTTAGAGGGAGAATGGCCTCCAATTGTCAGGTGGTAGAGCTTGGGGAGGGCCTCACTAGGCCACCTGGCCAGCTGAGAATTTTTGCAACCAGGGTCCATGGAAGCCAGGACCCCTAGGTAGGTTCCTGAGGGTGTTGGAGAGAAGATGTAGGCTCTGGAGACCTCTGGAGTGGGGTGGGGGAGTGGGGTACTTCACGTCACCCCACATACCTCCTAAGTGCCAGGCACTATGCTAGGCCCAGTGACATGAAGCCATGTAAGAGTCCCTGCCTCGGAGCTCTCTGGCCTCAGAGGATCCAGGGAGAACAACTGTCTGTGAGTTGATTTTGAGGGACACCCTCCAGCCTACTTCTAGAGTTAGGGAGATCTTCGACCCAGGAGGGCTTCCTGGAGGAGGTGACCTTAAAGAATGGGTAGGATTTAGGCCTTTGATGACCTGGAGGACATTCTGGCCTCCAGGAACAGTGGGCGTCAAGGCATAGCTGGAGCAAGGGGGCAGGGGCTTCCCTGAGCACCAAGACAGAGTGACCGTGGTCTGCCCTGAGCAGGTACCCCAAGTCGCAGCTGGGCTGCCTCAGGAGCCTGTAGCCGAGTCTGTTTCTGAGTATGTGGGTCAGGCAGGAGCAGAGGCGGAGTGTGGGAGGCTTTCTTGGCAGTCAAGTCCGTAACTTCTAGGCTCTTCTACACCTCAGCTGTAGGGCTCAAGGTGGTAGGGCAGTCGGCAGGTAGCTGTGAAGGGTGGGTGCCTCAGAGGCAGAGGGAGATGGCCGCACTGACCCTCCCCAAGCTCCGAATCCTGAGCCCCCAGACCTGCTGAGCTGACTCCTTGGTCTCCTGTGTCTTGCAGATCACCGCCCATCCCAGACCAAGGCACCATCTAAGAAGGCGGGAAAAGCCTCCAGAACTCCAAGGCCCAGGAGCTGGGCAGGAAAGTGCTCGCCCCAGTCAGGAGCAGCCCAGGAGGTGGGTGACCTGCAGAGAAGGGGAGGTAGACTGATGTTTTAGGAAATCCTGGCACCAGCCCTGCCCTTGCAGGCCTCACTTGGAGCCAGGCTCACCTTCCCAAGTCCTCAGAGGGCTCAGTCTCACCCTCAACAGGTGGTAGCCACCCGTCCATAGGCCTGGCAGCCGGAGAGTTGAGCAGAGGATCCCCAGGTCTGCAGTGTGACTGACACTCATAGCTGTGCCAAGTGATGGGCTCACCTGGTCCCCAACCCACATCCTCTTTGCTTCTGATGGGCCAGGGAGCTGCCCTGTGTCTAAGGCCTAGGGCGAGCCCCAGGCTTGATGAGGTCCCTGCTCTGACCCAGGTCTTAGAGCAGGACAGGCGACAGAGAGCAAATGAGGGACGTGCACCCTGCACACCCCCAGGGGCCCCACCGAGGACTTTACCAGCAGCTCTCTTTCCTTCCAAGGGCTCACCTCATCTTCTCAGACACTTCCCCAGTTGACACCTGAAGCTTAGGTGACTGATCGTCCTCAGTGATATAATTTGGATGTCGATGAAAACCAGGTCTACCCAGTCCTTTCCTGGGCACACAAAACTCTGTGCACGCATGCACGTAGCACGCACGTGTGCACACAGGCTTCGGAAGGCCCAAGGGGCCAATGTCCTCGTACACGCATGCAGGTTCAGCTGGGTCTGCAGCCTGCCTGCTGTCCCCTCATGTCAGCCACTTGCTGTAGCTGCAGGAGCAGGGTCTCTGAGAAGTCAGGGGCTTGCCAGGTCTCACCTTGGGAAGTTCATCTGACACCATCCCTGAGCCCCTCCTGCACAGAAACTGAGGGATGCTCCTGTCCATGAGGAGCCACCCCCCTTGAGGGGTCTGAGAAGGAAGGGCAAGGGCAGCCTGGGCGACAGGTGACTGCAGGATCTTTGAAGACACCCGGGAGCTCAGCAAGTGAGAGGGTCACTGCCCATACCATGGGAGCACACAAGTGCAGGCTGTGACCACTTGAATGGGGAGTCGGTGTGGCTGTGGAGGTTGGGGCAGGACTGGCCACCTCGCCTCCCCACTGTTGCTGTGGCCCGGGGCTATATATCCCTAGGACCTCAGGATATATAGCATGTAAGTAGAACAGCCAGCATTTGAGCTGAGGTCCCCTCTGTCATCTGGGGCTCAGCCTTGCCCACCAAACTCTGCAGACACCACTCTGGGGCCTTTGTCTGCACCCAGGCCCAGGCCACCAACCTGAACCAAGAGAAGGTTAGGACAGCTTGAGAGAGGAAAGAGACTCCAGGGGACCCAAGGAAGGTGGGTCAGGATGGGGTGCACAGGGGTGAAACATAACAGGGAGGGGAAGGACAGAGTTTGTCTCAGAAACTGAGACTGTCACAGGAGACCAGCCTGAGAGGACAGCTGGCCCCAGATGTCCAATGGGGGCCTGAAGGGTGTTGGCCAAAATGATTGGCTAAAAGCCAGTTCTGCCCATGGACCCCCTTCCCCCACACCCATGCCCCAGCACATGCAGCCCCCCAACATCCCATGGGCAGCAATGATAGCGCAGAGGGGCCATGAGAAACCAAGACCTCACAGGCACGTCTCACATGGGCTTGGGCACAGAATGCACCTCTGGGTCTCTGACCCCAAAGCCCAGACAAATTTGTGCAGGAGGCCACAGGGTGTGTCCCCAGCAGTGTGACAGGAACTCTGAGGGTCTCCTGGGCCCAGCAGCGGGTGCCTTGTGCTGAAGCTCAGGATGTGAAGGTCTGGGATTAGGGAAGGACAGGCCTGAGGGGGAGAGTGGCCAGTCCCCGGGCTGGGCCTCAGCATCCTCATACTCACAGTGGGTAGAACACCAGGCGGAATACACACAGTAGGTACTTACTCGGAGCTCAGGTGACCTGAGTAACTGCCACGGTGGCCACACACCCTCTGTTAGGACCACCTGCAGAGGGGGCCTCCCTATCCCTGATCTGTTCTGGCAGAGATGGGGGCTCCGGGGGTCATAATAGTCCAGCTCCATAATAGTCCACCTCATTGCCTGATGCAGTGGAGGGCCTTCAGGCCACCGGCTTGCACCGGGGGACACCATGGAAGGTTTGGGAGGGCAGTGACTCACTCAGCAGGGCTTGGTTTTTTGTTTTTTTAATTTTTTGAGGTGGAATCTCAGTCTCTTGCCCAGGCTAGCATGCCATGGCATCATCAGAGCTCAGAGCAACCTCAGACTCCTGGGCTCAAGCAATCCTCCATCCTCAGCCTCTGAGTAGCTGGGACTACAGGTGCCTGCCACACCACCTGGCTAATTTTTCTGTTTTTAGTAGAGATGGGGTCTCACTTTTCTTCAGGCTGGTCTTGAACTCTCTACTCAAGGGGTCTACCCACCTTGGCCTCCCAGAGTGCTGGGATTACGGGTGTGAGGCACCATGACCAGTCCAGGCTTATTTTTAACTGACTATAATTACTTTCCTTAGAGTCTGCCCAGACTTGGCCCAGGATGCAGGCCCAGGTTGGGCAGCTCCCTTGGGCTTTCCTCGGCCCTCACTGGAGGATCCATCTCACACTCTGGGGGGTGAGAGGGAGCAGCGTCCCTTTAGCCACATATGAGGCATGTGCCCCAGTACCCCATCTTACTCAACAGCAGACAGGAGCCACAGCCCCTATCAGCGCTATGGCCACATTTAACACCTGGTACTGGCTGGCTTTCTGAAGGGACTAGTCTTACTCCTGTGGTGCACTGGGTCCTGTTGACAGAGAGGCAGCCCTGCCCTTCAGGAGTCAGGGAAGATGTGGGTGCACAGGAAACCAAGACGTGGGGAGTAGGGACGATGGCCTGACACTCATGGCAGGGCCTTGTTGAGAAGCCACAGCTGCTGGCTCCAAGGACTATCTACTGTTTGGTGTGCACAGCCCCGGGGTACCACAGCACAACCCCCAGCTGGCGGCTCTGCAGAGGGACGGGTGGACTCCACCTTTCCTCCTGAGGGTGAAGGGGGCGTTAGCAGTTGGCCTTAGATGAGGAGTTTAAGTTGAGGAGTGGCAGAGATTTGTTCTAATACTAAGTACCTGGATGCCTTTTATTTACCCAGAGAGAAAAAATTAAAGCCGTAAATTACTTTGCATTTGATCTTTCAGTCCCTGTTATTCTACAGAAGCTCAGTGACATGATGGAGCTGTGTCCCAGCAAGCCATGGTCAGTTGAAAATGCAGTCAGTACACCTGACCTACCGAGCATCAGGGAACGCTGACACACCTGACACCGAGCCTGTTCCATAAAGAAGCACTAAATATCTCAGGTAATTACTGAATACCATGCTGAAGCCCAGCTGGCTTCTCCTGAGTTCCTGTCACTCTAGCACCATCGTAAAATCAAAACATCTTAAGTGGAACCCAGGACCCTGTGGGGAGGCTGGTCTGTGCTGCTGGGGAGCAGCCTCACCTGGGCGAGGCACGGGAGGGAGAATGGAGCCAGTAGTCTGGTCCTGCCCAGGGCAGTGTCTTGGCTACTGTCATGCAGAATGACAGGGATGGTGGCACCTGCTTGATGCTGCCACATGTCACTGAAGTGACCCCCACCCCCCTGGAAGCAGCTTCCGTACAAATTGTGCTTTCCAGGGTTTTGACAGACTCAGCTAGTGGGTCCAGATTAGCCAGTGAGCCCTCAGCTGTAGGAGTATCATCTCCCCCAGCCTAGTGGCCCCCTGAGGGCCTCACTGCTGGCCACAGTCCGGCCCACGGGCCCCAGGCTATTCGCCTGCGCTGGCCCCCGGCTCCCAGAGCAGCCCTGTTTGTCCTCACT